AACTGAATAGAACAAGCCAAAGTCAATTGTACCTTTCAGATAGCGAAGAATTCTCTTTGCGGCTTTAAAATGGGTGGTTGTTGGGGATTCCATGTAGCGACTAACCAATCCAACTGCGTGAAGAATATCGGGTCTCGTGCAAGTTAGATAGCGTAGACTTCCTACCAAACTTTTGAAGAATGTTGGATCTACACTTTCGCCTTCTTCATGTTTGGTCATCTTGATCCCGTATTCTGCCGGTGTGCTTATTGGCTTACAGTTCTCCATCTTGAACTTCTTCAGTATCTCCTTTGCATAGCTTTCCTGTGAAATGAAAATTCCATCATTTTGTTGCTTAACTTCAATGCCAAGGTAGTACGCCATGAGCCCCATGTCTGTCATCTCGAATTCTTTCATCATCACATCCTTGAATTCATTAAACATGCTTGGGTTGCTTCCAGTGAAGATCAAATCGTCCACGTAGAGGCACACGATCAAAATATCTTCATCTTTGATCTTGATATATAGAGCATGCTCGTAGGGACATTTGTTGAAGCCATTCTCTTGGAAGTACTTGTCGATTCGGCTATTCCATGCCCTTGGTGCTTGTTTTAGCCCATAAAGAGCCTTCTTCAACTTCAACACCTTGTCTTCATGCCCTTTGACTTCATAGCCTGATGGTTGCTGAATGTAAAGTTCCTCTTCAAGAACTCCATTTAGGAAGGCGGACTTTACATCCATCTGTTGTATCTTCCACTTGTTTTGAGCTGCCAAAGAAATGATTAGTCTGATAGTCTCCAATCGAGCAACAGGAGCAAATACCTCATCATAGTCAATTCCAGCCTTTTGACTATAGCCTTTAGCAACTAGCCTCGCCTTGTGCCTTTCAATCTCTCCTTTGGCGTTTTGCTTTGTTTTGTACACCCATTTGACACCTATCGCCTTATGTCCCTTGGGAAGTGAGGTAAGTTCCCATGTGTCATTCTTCTCGATGGCCTTGATTTCTTCGTCCATCGCATCTCTCCATTTCTTTTCTTGTACCGCTTCTTGAAAGCTCACTGGTTCACAATCAGCAAACAGACAAAATAATGTAAGATTATCTTGTCGTTCAGTTACCTCATAGAGATCTCTAAGGCTTCTTGTGCGTTGCACAACTCTTTCACTTTGACTCCCACTTGACGATGATGAAGGTGATGAGTCTCCTGAGTGGTTGATGTTGGTGAAGTGGGTGGAGTTGCAAGCTCTTGTTGAGATTCATCTAGTTGCTCCCTCATTGTCTGCTCATCTTCTTCAAACTGAGGAAAGAAATTGAAGTCATCTGTATGAGAGTTAAAATCCCATTCTCCTTCTTCGTTGAAGACCACATCTCGACTAATCACAAACTTCTTATTGTCTGGATTGTACAACTTGTAGCCCTTCGAATTAGCATCATAGCCGATGAAGATAAAACTCTCGCTTTTATCATCAAGCTTCGTTCTTCTCTCGTCTGGTACGTGAACATGGGCTATACTTCCAAAGGTTCTCAAGTGGGAAATGCCAGGCTTTCTTCCACTCCATGCCTCTTGCGGTGTCTTTCCCCATACACTTCTTGTTGGAGATCGATTTGACAAGTAGACTGCACACGATACTGCTTCCGCCCAAAATTCTTTGGGTAGTTTCTTGCTTTGAGCATGCTTCGTGCCATGTCGAGGATTGTTCTATTCTTTCTTTCTGCCACACCATTTTGCTGGGGGGATCTAGGAACTGTCATTGGTCGACGAATTCCATTTGCTTCACAGAACTCTTGAAACTCCCTGGAAGTAAATTCTCCACCTCGATCGGATCTCATGGCTTTGATCTTTCTACCGCTTTCTCTCTCCACTGCTGCTTTGAACTTCTTGAATACTTCAAAACTTCTGACTTCTGTTTCAAGAAATATACCCAGGTTTTTCTTGAAAAATCATCAATGAAGAGAAGAAATAGTTATTGTTACCGAGAGAACTTGGCTTGATCGGTCCACACACATCGGTATGGATGAGCTCAAGTGGCTTCTTAGCTCTTGTCCCTGACTCCTTTGGAAAGCTTTTCCTGAATTGTTTCCCGACTAGACACCCTTCACAGAGTTGGTCAGGATGGTTGATGTGAGGTAGTCCTTTCACCATCTCCTTCTTAGATAATAGCTCTAGACCTCCAAAATTGAGATGCCCAAATCGAAGATGCCAAAGCCATGATGCATTTTTGTAGCAAGCTTTCAGGCACTTTGCAACATCATTTTGTATGTTGATCAAGAACATTCTATTCTTTGACATCGGCACTTTAGCAATGAAGTTATTCTTATCATCTTTTATAGAAAGATTATAATTATTCATATGAATATCATAACCTTTCTCTACCAGTTGCCCTAAACTTAAAATGTTACTTTTCATATTGGGCACATAGTAGACATTTGAAATAAATTGATGTCTCCCATCTTTCAAACGGATAAGAATGTTACCTCTCCCTTTCACTGCTATTGTGGAATCATCTCCAAACGAAACATTTCCACTTACTGACTCGTCTAGCTCCACAAACATGTCTTTCCTTCCACACATGTGATTGCTTGCACCACTGTCAAGATACCAGGAATTTGCTTGGCCACCATCAGTTTCCTTTCGTGCTAGAAGAAGAGTTTCTTTGCCATCTGTCTTTTCCTCCACGTAATTGGCCTTCTCCTCAATTTTGTTGTTGGGAGCTCTACATTCTGAAGCATAATGCCCAAATTTTTGACAATTATAACATCGAATTTGAGATTTGTCATACTTTGAGTTTGGATTAATTCTTCCACGGCCTCGTGTTGAGCTTTCTCCTTTCTCATAGTTGTTGTTGGAATTGTTATTGTTGTAATTCCAGCCTCGTCCACGACCTCGACTTCCACCTCGTCCATGGCCTCTACCTCTGCCTTGGCCACGTTGGTTTCTATCATTGCGTTGGCTCTCATGCATATCCTTGAGTTGCAGCTTGAGGAGTTGCTCAGTAAACTCATGCTTCTTTTTATGCTTCTCTTCGTATGCTTGCAATGATCCTTGGAGCTGTTCGATCTTCATTTCTTCCAAGTCTTAGTTTCTTCAATCGTCACGACGATGTGCTCAAATTTGGGATCCAACGAACGGAGTATCTTCTCTATTATCCTCACATCGTCTAACTTTTCACCATTTCTTTTTAATTGATTAGAAACAGCTACTACTCTTGAGAAATAATCTGAAATAGACTCAGATGCTTTCATGTTTAAGGATTCGAATTCACCTCTTAATGTTTGGAGACGAACCTTCTTCACTTGCTCGGATCCTTTGTAAGAGGTTTGCAGCTTCTCCCACGCTTCCTTGCTAGAGCTTGCACTTGAAATCTTTTCAAAATGATCATCATCTAATGCTTGATAGATGAGGTAGAGAGCCTTCTTGTCTCTCTTTCTTGAATCCTTCAAAGTTGTCTTTTGATCTGGTGTAAGAGTAGCAAAAACATCATCATCTGCAGGCTCATTATAGCCTTTCTCTATGATATCCCACACATCTTGTGATCCAATAAGTGCCTTCATTTTGATACTCCAATTGTCGTAGTTGTTGTTGTTGAGTGTCGGAACTTGGAATGGTGCCATACCATTTGCCATATCTCTCAATATAATGAGATTTTGTAAAATCGATTGCACGGATGAATCCGGAACGATGAAAAAAAAAACTTTGGAGGGACTTGGACAACTCGGTCAAGGGCTCCAACTCGGCTGAATCGGCTCAACTCGGTGAGTCAACTCGATTTTCTGGCAGCAGTCTTCCGGCGGTGCGTGGCGGTGCGTCAGAACTCAGATTGAGAAAATTCTGGCGGCGTCGTATTCCTCTCGTCGAGACCTTCGATCTTTCCAACTCTCTCTGATGCCACTTTGTTGGAAATAAAACACTCACACAAATAACTTTTATTGAAACTCAAACAAATATTACAAGAGTACTCTCACTCAAAAACAAGAACTACAACTCACTCTTATAAGACTTTGCTTCTTCACTCACTTAGAAGCTCTTAATTTTTCTTGATGCTTAAAACTAAAATGGGAAGGGGTATTTATACTACTCAAGAACAATCCTACACCACACAAATAAACTAATTTAAACCATTACAAATTCAACAAATATCTAACTCTCACCTAACTAAATTGATGTAAGCAATGACATCATTAATTAAATGATGTAAGCAATGACATCTTTAATTAAATGATGTAAGTAATGACATCAATTTAGTTTGGGTTTGGGTTTAGGCTCCCATAATGGATCAAGTTTATGATCCAACAAACCCCTGCCGGAATCCCATCTTCCATCATAAAACTACATGCTCCGATTGATCTCCGTTGCTTTCTCCCATGGATTCCCAGAATCTTAGACAACGTTCCAGCCCCAGGGATGATCCCGGCGTTACCACCGCCAAGAAGAGCAAAAGCAGGCGAGAGAAGAGGATGGAAATGATAAACAAATAAAAATTTATGAATGTAAACGAACAAAAACAAAAACAAGATTAACCAAGTTTATATTTAAGAAAGAATGAAAATAGAATTAATTGAGTTTATATGTAAGGGAAAAAATTCAAATTTTTTTAGAGTTTATTGGTTTAGATATTTTTATTTTGGTTTAAAATTAACTAAATCTTAAAATATTAATAGATTTGACGATTAAATTGAACATAATCGAATTAATATAAACAATCGTAACTGCGAGCATAAATTAATGAATGGATTAGCAAACGTGTACCGAAAATAAACGAACCCTTTATTCGATTATTCATGTTATTTTATTTAATTATTTCATTTATATTTGAACCCTAACTCAAATTATTATGTCCGTTATGCATGCCAATAGTAATGCCCATGAAAAGCTATGTTATCTCGCTCGCCACATTTGCCCTAGGCCTAAATTATGCAGCCTCCAAAATTGTCAAGTCTTACTCCTCCTGATCACATAACCCTTCTAATATCGTGCCACATGGAATAGTAATGCATCACTACCGTCGATCTTGTATAAAAGAATCAACGCCCGAGATAGAGGAATTGCTATAAAAAGGGGAGTTGTTACAACGCTCGGGTTTGTCATTTCCGTTATATTCGAAGAAAACTTTGTTTCCTCAGTAGTATTCTCGAAAATGGTGAAAACAACGGCGGATACAGATCTCAAACAGCCAAAGGAGGCGGAAACCACCGTCAAATCATCAACGTCCGATTCGGATCCTAAACAAACAGAGGCGGTGAGCGCTAGAAGAAGCATCTCTTGATAATTGAATTTCTCCTTTTCTTTTTGATTGATAAGAAGTTATTTTTCTTCTAATGTAGATCGAAGAGAATATACAGAAGAAGCTCAAGTATCTAGATTTCGTTCAAGTGGCGTCAATTTATGCTGTCGTTTGTGTATCAAGCATCTACGAGTACGTTAAAGGAAACTCCGGTCCACTTAAACCGGGAGTAAACACCGTCGAAAAAACCGTCAAGGCCTTCATCGGCCCCGTTTACGACAAATTCCACGACGTACCGTTCAGGCTCCTCGAGTTTTTCGATCGCAAGGTATGTGCATTCAACAGTATGCCCCGCGATTAGGTCCGTTTTGGTAAGTAACCGTAATTCTTGACACGTGATCTGCAGGTGGACGAGTTGGAACGTCACGTGCCGTCTATCGTAAAGCAGGCTTCATGCCTAGCTCGAACAATGGCTTCGGAGGTCCGACGAGTCGGTGTTCTAGGCGCGGCTAAGACGATCACGAGGGACGTTTACACCAAATGTGAACCGACGGCTAAGGAGATGTACGGCACGTACGAACCGGTGGCTGAACAGTACGCCGTTTCAGCTTGGCGGTCGTTTAACCGTCTCCCGCTCTTCCCTCGAGTGGCGCATAGAGTGGTCGTCCCCGCGGGTGCTTACTGTTCGCAGAAGTACAATCAGGTGGTCCGTCTCTCCGGAGAGAAGGGATACGCGGTGGCTTCGTATCTACCGTTGATTCCGACTGATAGATTCGCAAAGGTATTCGGAGAGGGACACGTGGTTTCCACTTCGAGTAATGGGGAATCGGTTCGCGGGCAATGGAATAGCTAGGGTTTTGGGGGATTAGGTGGTTAGCTTCCTTACCTGAAAACTGGTGTCATGGACTCCGTTGTCGGCCTTCTCTGTTTTTAGTTTAATATTTCGATCTCGTGGCACTAGTCCGAATCTGCATATCATTCCGCGAAGTTTGTTATTGGTTTATTTATTAAACGTGTCATTAGGAAGAAAATTTTATGTTCGTTTAATTAAATGAATAGACACTAATAAAGAGTTTGTTGATTTATTTACGTTCTTAAATGTTTGATAATGTGTTCACTTATGTTCGTTCGTTAATATTCCACTCAATCTCTGAAATTATTTGAAATATTAAAATTTAATAAATTTTAGCCTTAAACTCATTAATATTTTAAAACCCAATTAGTTTTAGACCTAAATAAAAAATATGCAAATCAATTAAATAAAATATAAATCCTAAAAATATATGAAAAGAAGAAAAAAAACTCTTCTTAAATATAAAACCAATTGATCTTATTTGTGTTTGTTTACGTTCATTCGTTTGTGTTTGTTTATCATTTGAACAAACGAATATAAATGAACATGAACAAGCTAAATTTCTTAATGAACGAACACAAAAAAATAATATTTTTTTTTCATTTAATTATTTGTGTTCGTTCGTTTGTTCCATTATAGTTAAACAAACAAAAATAAACATACTCTCATTTGTGTTTGTTCAATTGTTTACATGCCTACATGGCACTGTAAGTGTGGTGGGAAGAGGCAAACTTCAATGAAATTTAAGGGTAAACAAATTACCTAAATGTTCAAACAAAGTTAAAAGTAGCCCTCAAAGAAGAATATTTCTTTAAGAATAAATATGTATATGATATATGTATTATAATGTAAGTGGTAAAGCGTTCCCGTCCAACTCAGTTGGTAGAACACAAGGCTCTTAACCTTGTGGTCGTGGGATCGAGTCACATGGTTGTCAATTCATAATTGGAGATCTTCTATGAAAGTTGCTTTCAACCTAGCGTTGGGGGCAGCCTACTACCCTACCTCCTCTTATCTTATTATATTTGGGAATAGGGTCAACTAATAATGTAAGTGGTAAAGGATTTAATTTCTTTAAGAAGAATATTTGTTTTCAATATCTATGGATGAAAATATAGTTTTAGAAGTCATATTTAGATTAAGTTCTATCACACTAAACCTTATTAAACGTATAATTTTAATTAAATATCCATACTACTCACGTATCTTTCAACTTATAAATTAAAAAATATTAAACGTTTAACTATATTTAATATTGCATCTTATTATATAATATATGAGCGATAAACTGATCGTTACATAAATGAGATCCCATGATTTTTTCGGTTTTCACAATGTTATATTTTAATACTTTATTTTTTTTATTGTGAAATTTTTAAAAATTACAATGTTCATTGAAGTTTAAATTTAAATTAAAGGTTAATATTCACTTTAACCTAGTGTAAAATTTTTAGTTTTCTATTTTTTTAAGATCGTTGAATAAGAAAAAATTAAAGGTTGAGATTAACTCGTTTGTTTTTTAATTTTATATCTTTTAAGATCGTTGAATGAGGGAAAGCAAAGGAATACTGCTGTTTGGGCCTCCTGGTACTGGGAAAACAATGCTTGCTAAAGCTGTTGCAACTGAAGCCGGTGCATACTTTATCAACATATCGACGTCCAGCATTACTTCGAAGGTATTTAACGTGTGAAGAAACAGTGTCACATTCCTTTCCGTTAGAAAATAGATTTTATGGCCTATTTATATGTCTTGCAGTGGTTTAGTGAAGGAGGGAACTATGTTAAAGCCGTTTTTTCTCTTGCCAGTAAAATTGCACCTAGTGTTATTTTTGTTGACGAGGTTTGCTATTTCCTCATATTTTCATTAATTTTATTGTGTATTTTCTGCTTTCTCAGAAGACTAACTGCTACTAATATTTTGTTGGCTTGACCTTTATTATTTCCTTAATCTTCCTGTTTCTTGCAAGGTATGTAGTTATATTGACTTGGGTGGTTATTTTAGGTTGATAGCATGTTAGGACGACGGGAAAATTGAGGTGAAAATGGGGCTATGCGTAGGATGAAGAATGAACTTATGGTAATGGGGATGGTCTCCGTACGAGGGATAAGGAACGAGTGTTGGTTCTTGCTGCTACAAACCGGCCATTTGATCTTGATGAAGCAGTCATTCAGAGGCGCCCACGAAGGTAACTTTCTTATTGTGTTTTGTTTGAGTTGCTGTAGTCTGACCTTATGATAAGCACCATTGACTTCCTGGTTGAATATTTTGTGCAGGTTGACTGATGGTTAATTTGCCAGATACTCCAAATAGAGAAAAAAAATAAGAGTTACATTAGCCAAGGAGGAATTGTCACCCAGTATTGATTTGGAAGCTATTTCAAATATGACCGAAGGATATTCTGGAAGTGACATGAAGGTTGATATCTTCATCCTTTTACTTAATGCACTGTCTTGTTTGAAAATGTGAAGTTTGTTAACTAAAGAAGGAAAATTAATCAACGGCAAATCATATGCTAATTTTAAATTGAACAAGATTGGTTATTATATCTTTTAGCTACATTTGATTCTTAATGAGTTCTCATATATGGGTGTTTATAATTCTGGCTTAAACTAATTTTGAACTTCCTTTTTCCAGTTAAAAACAAATTTTTTACTTATCAAGGTTGTTAGCAAGGCTTCCCTCTTCCTTTTAGCCGAGTCATCTTCTAACTTCTATTTCAATCCAAATGGGTAAGTGGCTTTATCGTTTACTTATGTTCCCCTAATAAAATTTCTGTTTGCAGAACCTGTGAGTGACTGCTGCACATTGTCCCATACGAGAGAATCTGGAGAAGGAAAAGAAGGTTAGTCAACATTTTAGTTTAGATGTTCTTGGATAGGTTGCAGGTACTTCCATATAGACCATGTTGATTTTGCTGCTAAAAACTAGTGGATATGTGATGTAGATGCTCTACGGGCTCATTGCATAATCCTGATGCTGTATTTTTATGGTAGCTAGCAGTTATCCATAGGCCACAAGATGGTAAAATATAATCGTGCTACTATCTGGGGATTTTTTTATGCGTATTTTAACCCACCTGCCATAGGTTATGTATGCATTCTGTTATCTACTGCATACCTTTTTTTCATGGAAGTTTACTATGTGTACAAGAATGGACTGATATATCGTGCAAATTTCAGGGGAGAGCTTTGGCAGTGGCTGAGGATAGACTAGCAGTGTTGGCATTCGTTCTCTGTTGATGGATGACTTTAAATATGCTCATGAACAGGTATCTTATTCAGTCTTGATTGTTATATTTTTAGATCTTTCATTTCAGATTATCCATGGCCAAAGAAGTTTGAAATTTCCCCTTGATTTATTCAGCATGTGAGAAAGCAACATATCTTTTATGGAGTACTTGTTCTATAAAAACTGTGCTTCAAGCATACATACATACATACATACATACATACATGCATACATTTGATTTGGCTGACTGGAACTGGAAAGCAGGTTTGTGCAAGTGTGCCATCATAGTCTACAAATATGAGTGAGCTTCTTCAGTGGAACGAACTATATGGAGAAGGTGGATCAAGAAAGAAAAAAGCTCTAAGCTACTTCATGTAGAGTTTTTTTTTTTTGGGGTGGGGGGTGTATTTTTGTTCCTTTTTCCTTTGATTCTTCATTCTCACCATGAAAGGTAAGGTCAAGTTCGAGAGGGAATTCCATTGCAGGTTCTGGCTTCTTTCTTTGTATTATAATAGTTGCATATAGGTGCCCCCTAATTTTTCGCTTGAATTCTATTGTTTAGAAATGTTACGATATATTTAACAAGCAGAAAAACTCTATTTAAAGCATTTTTCATTGCCCTGAGCAATATATGCCTCCAAGAGCAAATACCTTCATTCCCAAGGGTCTCCGGCCGAAGGCACATTCGTGAGCAAGATGGGAAAGACCATCCCCCGACTATTAGATAGGTTCATGTAACAGCAACAGAAATGAAAATAAAAGCGAAGTTCTCCCTCGTAGTTAACGGTAATAGGATGATTGTTTGATCGGTACTCGTCGGCTGAATCAGTAGGCTAACGCCCCCAAGCGGCTGTGGGTGTAACGAAGTGAAGACCGGGACATCAAAAAGAGTAGACAATCGATGGAAGTAGGATGTTATTGTTTGTGACCAAATATTTGTCATTAACATTAGGTCTGAAACTCTCTGGATTCTAAATGTTACATCTTTGTTTAATATACTTAATTTTTTCTCTTCTCATAGTTATTTAGTAAATAACTAAATATACATTGATTTGTGATGGTGATGACAATAGTAATTCATCTTTGTAAAACGTTGATGCAATAGTAAATAACTATGAAGTAAATCTTAAAATCTTAATCCTATCCTTAAACCAAGAAATAATTGCCACTGCAAAATGATTGTTAGATGGATGAGGGGAGACAAAGTTGTGTTCTTTGTTTGAGTTCGATGTTGGGATGACAACGGGTCTGATTGGTCGGGTTTTTGGTCAATACAATATGATTGAAAAGTTTATATCTTCCATTTGAACTCAATCCGACCCGAACTCGATCCGACCTGAAATATTATATATTCTCCGCTTGATCCGAAAAATAAATATCTTCCATCCAATTCAACCTGAAATTTTAGAGTATAAAATTTATTCAACTTGGTCTGGTTTAAAATAATGTTTAATTTAAAAAATAATAAATAGAGGGGTTATATATGGCTAAATCTACGAGATAATGTGTTGGAATTATTTATTTCACGAGATAATGTTCTCCCAAGATTAATTGCTGAAGTAGGGCGAATTGCACAGTGTTGACCGTAGGTCGCCATGCCTTCCGGGCGACCTACGACGTGGCAGCTTCCGACGAGGGAATGATCGTGTGCATGGGACATGCACAACCCAACCCATAGGTCGCCATGCACTCCCAGCGACCTCCTAGGTCGCCATACACTCCGGGCGACCAAGGAGGTCGCCATGCACGCCCGACGACCAAGCTTTTAACCATCTGCACGCCCTGCATGTCATAGGTGGGAGATTCCAGCCCGACGACCAAGCTTTAACCCTCTGCTCCCTTATGCATGCGTTGCATCCATAGAGCGGAACGTGCAGAAATATCACATGGCCATGCAAGGAGACATGGCGACCTCCTTGGTCGCTCGGAGTGCATGGCGACCTAGGAGGTTGCTGGGAGTGCATGGCAACCTATGGGTTGGGTTGTGCATGGGACGCTTGAAGCTGCCACGTCGTAGGTCGCCCGAAAGGCATGGCGACCTACGGCCAACACTGTGCAATTCGCCCTACTTCAGTAATTAATCTTAGGAGAACGTTATCTCGTAAAATAAATAATTCTAACACATTATCTCGAGAGTTTTACCGGTTATATAGTAATCATTCATAAATTTATTTAAAGAAATTAAACTATTATTTAGGTTAAAAGCAAACTATTTGGCCTTTTGGGTTCGGCCACGTTTACCTGAATTTAATGGAATAAAAATAAACAAATGCCAAACGCTATGATCCATCAAATATGGAACAGCTCCGTACGAACACCCTGACAGGGAAATGTGGCGCAGAGCTTATCTCCTTCGAAACTTGCGTCGAATACGATCTAAAAACGCCGTTTACCACCGCTTCTCCTCTCTGTTCTCGGTGAAGCGCACGTTAACGACCATGGACATTATGCATCATTCTTCGGCTTTTCTTCTCCCCACGATCCCTGAAAACCAGCGCCCTTCTCTAACCTACGCCCTCATCGTTCTTAACCACGACCTCCCCAGATTCACTCCTCTTCTATGGAAGCACGGTCTTTACTGCATCTTTTTTCCCTGTTTATTTGAATTTTTATTCTGTGTCATCTGGAGAATGATATGTTGCGTTCCTTTTTATTTATTTTTTTGGTTTAGAGCAGCTCAGCTTCGCCTCTGTGCTGACGGTGGTGCCAATCGTGTGTACGATGAAATTCCTCTGCTCTTCCCTCAGGAAGATGCCTCCGATGTTCGACGCAGGTCTCTTTTCTTTTTACGTATATTGTTCGAGGCTTTGATTTTTGTTGGTTTTATTCCATTCCTCTTATAGTTGTTGTTCCGTAGAGCTTAGTATGTGATTTAAATTCTTATATTAGTTAAAACTACTGAATTTGATCGAATGTTTTTGTCCAAGCAATGGTAGCAGTAGAACTGTTAGAACATAGCTTCTTCCAAGTTCTATAGTTTTTAGAGTTAGGGGGATGGGAAATTTGTTAATCGAATGGTTAAATTCAAAATAAGAAAGTGTTCATGAATCTTAATCATTTGATTAACAAATTTTTCATCGTTGGTACCAAGCAAAGACTAAGTGCTATAATACCACTGGCGCTTCGATTCGTTGCAGATACAAGCCGGATATAATTAAAGGAGATTTGGATTCGATACGAAAAGAAGTACACGACTTTTATACCCGCCTTGTAAGTTTGCAGATTTGCTTTCCTTCCACAATTTGATTGGTAATATTACTATATATATATGCATACTGCCGATTATGAACCAGTTGTTTTCATATGTTATCAGGCTCTTGTTCATTCCATTTCAGGTGTTAGCTCTCTCTGGTTCATAAATTTGTTAGTGCTGAGATGTTTTCACTTGCTGTGTTGTTGTAGGGGACAAGGATTGTTGATAAAACTCATGATCAGGACTCTACTGATCTACATAAATGCATAGCATGCATCCTCGATTTTGCTCCGGTTTCGGATAAATCTAATGTAAGTTAAACTTGAATGTGCTGAAGTTTATGTAGAGGCATTTTAGAGAACAATGAAGAGTTTGAGCATCATTGAAAGATTCTGTGCATTTCATCTTGTAGAGTGTGCTTAGATAGTTCTCTCCTTTTTCTTGGTTTAATGGCAGCTCTGCATTCTTGTTGCTGGAGCAATTGGTGGAAGATTTGACCATGAGATAGGAAACCTAAATGCCATATGTCGTTTCTCGTCCCTCCGAATAGTCCTTTTATCCGACGATAATCTCATTCATCTCCTCCCGAGGACTCACCGTCACGAGATACACATTCAAGCTTCTGTCGAGGGTCCGCATTGCGGACTAATTCCAATCGGGATGCCATCGAAAAGCAGTACAACAACAGGGCTTCGGTGGGATCTGAGTAAGCATATATCATTTACATTTTACTCGGACATAATATCTTGCTCTATTCATGCCATCCCTTTCATCATGCCTCGTTATCCTTACATACTCATTTCATTGCTGCTGCTGTTGTGAGTCTGATTCTCTGATTTGCAGATAACACGGAGATGAAATTTGGGGGTCTAGTAAGCACATCGAATATGGTTAAAGGAGAAACGGTGACGGTGCAATCTGATTGTGATCTTTTGTGGACCATTTGCCTTAAGTAGTAGTAGCGGCTGTTACGCTTTCTATGAATTGGATGCGAATTTCACTTTTGATTTTGTATGCAATTTGCAATGTAGAAGGGTTCATTAATGTTGTCGTCGTTATTATCGTTCTTGTTATCGTTGTCATTATCGTTGTCGTCGGTGTCAGTGGGATCATTTTGGATAATGAGAACACATTGAAAATGTGGTAATTGTTATCCGAAAATGATTACAAATTAAAGATGAGTTGGAGAAAGATTTATTTTTCAGTAACATTTTTTCTTTTATTTTGATTTAAGGGTTAATTTTATTTTCTTAGTTGATCAAAATCAATAATGTCCTTTACTATCATCAATTTAACTCTGAAAATTTGTGTATCAATATTATCTTTTGGTCGATAAAAGTTGCTGATAATGGCTAGTTTATTGATATGGTGGTATATATTTTTCTCATTAGTCTAAAGTAATTATAATGTAGTATATATTCTAAAGATTCTCAGTAATTTGACAACAAAAATTCATCACTTTTGTAGTCTCTAGTATTCGAATTTGAGATTTCCATAGATGAATTTGAGATCTCCAGAGATGACAACCATCAACTATGGTGGTAATTGGTTAATGACGATGATATGATAATTTATGATATTGGAGATATTTAATTGCGGTTAGAGTTTATTTATTTTTTAAAAAGAAAGAATTCATTTACTTTTTTAAAAAAAAGGTTAAAAAAGTATTATAATATTAATATATATTATAATATTAATAATTTACTAAAAAAACATCATTAAAAGTTTTTACAAGTAAATCAATTAAACTCTTAATTATAAAAATCAATAAAACCTCGTATTTGCAACATAATCCTTTTTACAGAGTATAATTGTATACGGATTACGGAGTTAATCTTTCACTGGTGTGTTGATAGCTGAGAAGAAAATTGCACGGCAAATTGGTACTACAGTCACCGTAAAGAAGTTGTTCTCGAACCTACCAGTGCGAAACAAGGAATTTCATCGCAACATACGCAAGGAGTATGGCAAACTTGTTTCCTTGCTGAATGTGAGTGCATCCATGGGTGTCAAAAGCTTTATACTTCATTACTTGTTATATCGGCACATTTTGATGTGTGGGTAAAAACAACTTTTGATTGGCCTTCATTTGTTGTGCCTTTGGAGATTGTGAAATGGGTTTGAAACAATCTGTTTTTGAGTCCTTGTCCTTGATTTAGAAGGAAAATTCATATGAGAACCTCTTTATAGTAAGATTTGCTACATTTTCAAGAAGATACTAAAAATGCCTATAAACTATGACTGGGATCTATGTATTGCTCAGCATGTTGTTGGTCAAAAAATGTGATCTCTTGGGTCTCTTACTGTGACAACTATCGTTTGGCTTCTTCTTCTTCTTCTTCTCCTTTCTCTGTTAACAGTTAGGGATACTCAATCATAGCGGTGTGATATGTATTCATTGAGTAATTTATTACTCATCCATTCACTAATCTAGAATATTTTGGATTAAAGGATATTATTCTAATGTTCTTTCAATTCAGGCATATGCACTCACAGCAAAAGGAGTCAGGTTAGTCTGCAGCAACACAAGTGGAAAAAATGTGAAGTCTGTGTTTCTTCAAACACAGGGAAGTGATTCCCTCAAAGATAACATCACACAAGTTTTAGGTGTGAATACATTTAGCTGCTTAAAACCTGTATCTATAGGTATATCAGACAGCTGCAAAATTGAAGGTTTTGTTTCTAAGTCTGGACAGGGTTGTGGCCGCAATCTGGGAGACAGACAATACTTCTTTGTAAATGGTAGACCTGTGGATGTGCCTAAGGTGAGCAAGCTTGTGAATGAATTATATAAAGGTGCAAACTCTAAGCAGTATCCTATAGCCGTAATGAATTTTATCATTCCAACTAGAGAATGTGATGTGAATATTAACTCCTGAAAAAAGAAAAGTGTTCTTTTCTGATGAAAGCATGATTTTGCGATCTTTGAGAGAGGGTTTGCAGGAGATATATTCCTCGAGTAATGTTGGTTACATAGTTAATGGTGTTTTGAACACTAAGGAAGCTGAATCCTCTGAGCTTTGCCCTTCACTAGAAAAGTTACCTCCAGCTGGAGTTAATTTGAAAGTTTCCACGAGGGAACATTCTGTGGAGGGGACCCCTCTTTTACAACTGTTAAAATCAACTCTCAAAGTTCGCAGTTTTCAGAAGGATTTGTTTCTAGTGATCATGAGAACATGTTGACTCTAGGAGAACAGGGAGCAAAGAAGATTGATGTTGTTATAGAGGCTAATGCAGGGCAATTAACAAGTCATATGGATGGTACAATTAACAAGGATTTTTCAGAATGATCAATCCTTAGACACCATGAGGATTCATTGAGGAAGGACTTCATCTTACAAGTTCACAGAACTAATAAGATCGATGATTTTACAGAATCTAATAATGGGGGTTTGACAACTCAAATGAACAGTATAGTCAACAAGGATTCTTCATCTCCCTCAATTGCAATTGGGAAAGGAATTTTTATAAGTAGAGATTGTAACAGTCATTCAGGCTGTGTTCAATCATCTCTGAGAGGAAACATGAAAGCACTAGTACTGTATTATCTGAAAGGCATGTCTTAAGAAATCAAAGTCTTCATTATCAATCAAATAACAGAAATTCAAACGTGTGTGATTTGAGCCCAAGAGATCAAGTTGATGATTACACCAAGTTGAATGAGAATGAGCCTAGAAAGTTTATCAGAGCAAATAGCATCTTGGGTGAAAGTGGAAATCCTAGTACTCCTAGTGGTGGAAAACCTGGAGAGGTACATGGTCCTGTTATCTATTCGAAACTCGTTCAGTCCTGCTTTACCAGTATAGAAACAAGACTAGAAAAACTAAGGTGGATAAATTCCATATTGATAACAAAAGTAACTCCAACCAGTATTTAGGAAAAACCTGCATATTGCTTTTCAGTTTCAAAACCTTTTTTCTAAACTATTACCCGATTCTTCCTTTTACCCATCATATCCTAGTCAAACATATATCAGATGCCTCAAACGAACATGAGTATCTAGTTATAGTTATAAAAGATATGTACCATAATTATGTGCAATGCATCTATCATTGCTCTGAAACCTAGGTAGATATCATGGTTATGGTGGTACGATCCTTCAGGACCATGAATATCAACTTTAATGTGTAACAGTTGTTAATGTTCTCTCTTTTGATCTCAGCTAATTCCTTTACATGAATTACAGAATCACGAAAACACAGTGGCTTCTGCGGGAAAAGAACTAATTGATTTATTCCACAAGAAACATGAGGATGTACCTGAAAAAGGATCGACAGATCCAACATTAGAGTCTTTATTCTCTGCCATACCTCCATCTGATAAAAAGATATGTTCCATCTTTGGGTTTAGATTTCAAGACCTATTGGCAAAGAGGAAGCAGAGGATGTCGAGAGTATTGCTTACTAGTTACAGATTCCTCAGCATGAAGAAGAAAAGGTCAATGAAAAGATTCAATCCGAGTAGCAAAATTGTTATCCAGTTCTTGTTTAGTAATTTGATTTTCATTATTGTCAATAGGTGTTATACTGCTGCATCACTTAGACTTTCTGTTGGCTCTTACGATCAACCGAAAACTGTCAAGAGGGGTGAATTGACCTTTAAAAATCGTGAAAGCAATAAAAGATAAGAATTAGACTCAAAATTATAGTGGTTCGACTTTCTCAATCAAAGTCTACATCCACTACGTTAGCTCCACACTAAGTCTTTCAACAAATTCATTAATTTGGTCTTTATTTTTCTAGGCTCAAGAGTAACCTTTACAATTCTCTAGTTATTCAAACCTAAACTATAACCACTCCCCTTTTACAAAGGATAAGAAATGTAAACAAGAAACCTCACAAGTTAGGTATTTACAAAGATTTAAGCTCATAAGAATAAAAACAAAAGATATTCAATTAAGCTTATACACTTATGTACAAGAGAAAAATGAAGGAAATAGGAATGAAAATTATTTTCTCTTGATCTCTAAGCTTGGATAGGTGTAGTCTCATTCTTCAAGTGTTCTTGGAGTGTTTTTATATGTTGGAACGAGTTACTAGGCGTTTCTAGCCGTTGTGGAAGGTTTGGAGCCGTTGGAAGACTTAAATTCGTGCATTTAAGTTACCTGCACACAAAGTTTCGAAACTATGGGGAAAGTTTCGAAACTCTTCGAAAGAGCCGTTAGAAAAATATGACTGTTGGACCCAAAGTATCAAAACTTTAATGAAAGTTTTGAAACTATTGAGATAGTTTCGAAACTATATGAAAGTATCGAAACTTTTTGGGCTACTGTCTTGGAAAGTTTCGAAACTCTTGTAAAAGTTTCGAAACTTCTAGTCAAAGCTTATTTAAAAGAATAGTTTTTGAAATTTTGAGAAATATAGAACTTTGAAAATGATTCTAAAGTATTTGAAAGATATTTTTAATATAATTTGAACTTAAAAGACTCATTTTAAAGTTTTGACAAAGTTTAGAAAACATTGAACACATGTATTTCAAATTTAGTTGGACCTTAAATTATTTTTGAAAACTTTGAATAAATTCAATTTAGTCCAACAAACATTTTGCCCTTATTTGTTATATCAAAACATAAGTTCAACAATCTTCCCCTTTTTGATATAACAAAACCTTTGAAAAATATTTTTTTGGCAAAAGCTCCCCCTTATTAAAACATTTAATGAAAAGATAAATATTTTAGAAAAATATTAAAATTCATCCTTTTTCATCCTTGAAATTGAATTTTTCAAACCTATACTTCTATCTCTTTTTGTTATATAAAAAATAATTCAAACTTTTAAGGTATAAAATAACGATGGAAAGTAAGTAGTAATGTTAACATTAAAATCATTTAAAAAAATCAAAAGTTCTCCATCAACAAATGCATTCCGAAAACACATTTTAGCTCAAAACTTAGACACTTCAAAAAATATTGAATTTCGATAAGATGAACAAACATGTTAGTAGCACATGAAATTCAATATATTTAAGTCTAACTACTTTATGCGGTATCATGAATAAGACATTATAACTTATATGCATAAAGCATTTCAAAAATGTTATGCATTCAATATTGACATCAATTGTTAGAGAGATATCATAGGCAATAAAATCACATGCATAAACATTTAAATTAATGTCAAAAAATAAAATTTATAAAAACAAAGCATTAAAACCAATTTTTGACTAAAATTCATTATGAGAAACAGACATTTATGAAAAATCATTAAAACTTTAGAAAATGTTAATCACAACATCTTTTAACATACATGACATAGAAAACATAAATTATTTAAAAATCAAAACTCATGCATGCTTGTTCAAGTATCTTCGAGTTCCTGATGAGGTAACTTTTGCTCCTTGTATATGTTGTTTAGTTTCCTTATGTTAAGAACTTAAGATTTATAACATTTTTAATTTCATCCAGTCTGTTAAATTTATGCTTGGTTTATAGTGGATCTTTAGTGACTTAAATTTTTGGTGTTAAAAAGGGTGTTCCTATTCTAGGAATCTAGAGCTAGCTGTGTAATAATTTGTTTTAGTGATTAAAAAATGTGGTGTTAAAAATGGTGTTTTATAAGAACATCTGCCATCTCTTAAGGAAAACCAAATTTTTTGATCTTTTTACTTATTGACTTTCATGTTGCACTTTCTCAAATTTTAAGTTCCTCAAAAAAAATTGTTGCCTGGTTTTTATTATGGTTCTTGTGCGTTCTCCCAACCATTTTAGATACCTTATTTCTCCAATCTGCTAATCTTATTAGCTTTACCATTGAATTTCTGGTAATTGATAAAGTTCAGGAAGAAACGAAGAGCCGTGCAGGTATGATTTTCTTCCCAAGTATTAAAAGGGAGGGATAATTATTGTGGTATTCAATTTATATAAAAATATTTTACAAGTAATATGTTTCTCTGACGAGTTGATTGCAAGCATATGTACTGCAATCTCTGAAGCATATGTCGCAGATTAAATTGTGCTTGGTTAATTGTTTGCTGAAAGTGATGTAATTTTTGTTTATGTACTGTCCTTTTTGCAACGTATTGGTTTTTGTTCGGGCACCTACTTATCATAACTTTAACCTTGAGGTTGATAGTTGATACTACTAGAGGTTTCTGCATATGAAAACTGGAGTAATTAACTTGGCTGTTTGACTTTACTGACCTTCTCAGATAGGAAGCCTCCTGTTTTAGGCCGTGGTAGAGGTAGAGGTAGAGGTAGAGAAGATGGTCCTGGAAGGCAACCAAAAGGAGCTCGGTATGGATTTGAAGATGGTGCCAAGGGTCCAGGAGGACGAGCCAGGGGTGGCTCAGGTGGAAAGACCAGCGGAAGCAGAGGTAAAATTGCTATAACAAACAACTGCACAATAGTGTGTATTTTGTCATTGAATAATGTTGTCATGGTTGGTTATACACTTCGACATATTCAGACTAATGGTCTGCTGCTTTTCCTTGTGGTGAGAGGTGGTGGCCGAGGTTAAGGTTGACGACGTGCTGCTTTATCTTGGGCAACATTGCTATTTTTAGAAGCAGGTTGCATCCAATCCACCGAAATCAGTTTCTATCGTTTGGTTTTTTTTTCTGTCAGAATGGGTGTCCAAAGAACCAATATTATGTAACATTGCAGAATTCAGAACGGTTTGCTGTTAAATTTCTGTATTCAAGTTCTATAATCTCATGTCAACTTGTTGGAACCAGTTTGTTTTTCTTAAATATTTTAGTTGCAAAACTCGAAATTCGTGCTACTAATGTAGAATGCTTTCATTTTCAAGTACTCTCTCATATTACAGTACATAAAATTAACAGCATTTCCTGAATCTGGAAAATTTCTGTGGGAAAAGTAAAGTTACAAGGCTATTAGACACGCAGCATGAGAAACAAAGGAATTGATATGCTTAGTACGGTTGGTGCCTACAGGTTTTGCGAATTCGTGGTGACTTCTTGACCAAAGAACTTGAGATCCAAGACCGACTGATCTCCGGTGAATCATGATCGCCCATCCAACAGCACAAGCGACCATCCTCGCCACCCGTCCATCCAAAAATGCCTCGATTTTGAGCAGGTCCACTTTGCATGTTCGACATAGGCAATATGCTCCTAACAACACCCATATGACCACCCCCGAGAACTGCTTCCGGGGGTCCTATCACTGCTTCTTTATAATTTACCGGGAAATAACCTAAAGAGCCACCATTAGTCCCACCAATCACCCATAAATCCTCTCCTCCAGAACTGTGACAATCAACAAAATAATCAACCTGCAAAGATCTTGTGAATTTAGTGCATGCTCAACCATGTTTCATAGCTGCTTTACCCTAGAAAAAGCTCTGAATTTGAACTTCAAAAATGACTCGTAACAGAACAAAACCGGTAAATGAATTCAACTATTTTCGGACTTACATGATCCAATGTCCAACTCTCTGATGCCAATGAACGAGCATCCTCAAAGTTCGCTTCATTGGTTCCTTCGTTCCAATTCCATACACTACAAGGGGTTGTGAAATAAACGTCTAAACACTAGTTTTGGGGGAAAACATATATCTACTCACGGTATTTTATAGCATAGTCGTGGGAGCTTAAACCTTTCCTGCATAGGTCCTAATTCATCACCACTAAATGAAGGGTAGAGAAAAGAGAAGATTCCTAAACAAAGGCTCGTATTTTGAGTTTCAAGCATAAAGATACCTTAAGGTCTCAATGTTCGTCAAACACCAGAGCTTCTCAGAAGAGTCCCCCAAAAACCCTATTTTCGCAATTGAAGTTCCAACATTGATAACCTGAAATGTTGGGATAAAAATTAATCATATTCCCATCTGGAGTAATTTATAAGAACAAACTATGCATTAGATTAACCATCACATCAAGCAAACATAGTAGTTAATTTTTTACTATTGAGCATCAGAATGATACTCTTTTAGAGCTAAAATAGCTCATCTTCTTGTTTAGTGTATAGACTGAAGGGACAATACTTTGAAAAGGAACAGACAGAAACAAGGAAAGCGCATATGAATTATTTATAGAAGGCTAACCTATGATTAATTCAGGAGGAGTCAACGGTAATCGTCCCTATGCAATAACACCCGCCCCCAATTATGTGCTGACATACAGCTTTTCAACAACTCCAACAAAAAGTTTGAATCATATGCCGATAAGTAACATTGTAACCAAACTACCATCTAGCTAACTGCTAAAAGTTTTCATGATTGGAACACGGACCTAAGAAGAAACCGGCCTTCATAGTTCTAAAAGGATTAGGAAGCAATATCATCTAGCCAGTAGAGCATATACTGAAAAAGCTAACATAAAAACGAGTCTACACTTACAGATTCAAGATGATCATCATCATTGATATCTCCGTTGGTATCAAATATGCATATCAATCCATCAGCAGAAGCAGAAGCTAGCTTGTTTTGACAGCCAGGCACAAAGTGTACCTTTCAACAATAGGAGAAATACCAATGAAAACAATAAGCCACGTGATTCAACCGCCAAATCCCAACATTTACTAGCTTATGACTGAAGTATATATAAATTTGTTAATCTACATTAAGCTTCCGTATGCCAAGCATGGCCAAAAAAAAAAAGAAATCGGATGTAATTATGTAGAAGAAACAGTATAAACTCATAGACCTCAAACTAAACAGAGATCAAACTGAACAGGAGGCAAGACTAACCTGAGTAACATCGTCCACATGAGATTCCTCCAAGCATGCGACTTGCTTCTTGTTCCTCCAATCCCAGAAAAGTATCTGTGTTGTAGATAAACAAGCAAGAAGAAACAGTCTTGAGAACTGGGACACTGTCAAAAAAAAAAAGTTGTGCCTGACAACTTTTCGCATAGGATAAGCGTATTGACTACAATGCTGCGAGAACATCTCCCGTCATACATCAACACTAGGTCAAAACTAACAGATGCTGATCTAAAGTGGGAAAAACAATTACTTTAAAACGTAAAATGTGTCGACCTGGGATTGGCATCCTGCAGCCAGAAGATTATCATCTGAACCTCCAAATGAGAAGCTAAAGACCTCTTGAGAGGAACCAGCAGTTATACACGAAACCTACAAATAAAACAAAAATCATCAAACAAATTGCACAAAAATATTGAAAAAAGAAGGGTCTTTTTCAAAATCTGTACAGGAAAAAGCTGGTCTAAGAATTCACCTGTTGAAAAGTTCGGGTATCCCAGGCTCTGATAGTTCCATCAGAGGAGCAGGAGTGCAGAACATTGTGTTTGGAAGCACCAGAAAAATAGATATGATTAATAGTTGAGGAATGTCCTTTACACTCCCCAAGATATTGACCAGTCATTGGAGAGTAGAGTTTCACTGCATTAGTCGACAATGATACCGCCATGGAAGCCCAATCATCCCTTTTCCAAAACCCACAAAAAATAACCCATCACCATCAACTTTAACACCACAAAAAATCAAAATTTCCCATTTTTTCGATGATCGGAATTGATTTTAGGAGAGGAAGCGTACCTGGGAACGATTTCGAAAACGTAGTCGTCGCCGAAATTGGTTTGAATCGAATTTTTTAGACCGAATGTCTTGGTTGAGCTCTGACTATTCTGAACCGGTTGTTCTACTTCCATATCCGAGGCATCTACCTCCATCTCTGTGCCTTTTTTAAAAAAAAATCGTCGTTGTGTTGCTCTGAGCTTTAGCTATTGCAAAAAGAGCAAAGAGGCAAGCAAGGCGGGGAGGCTAACGATTCAGGGTTTTACACGGGCGATCGTAAACGGTCAGGTTCAGCTTAACTAGTTTCTTGTGACCAATCAATTTGTGCCACCTCCCAGGAGCAAACTGCATAGTCAATTATTATTGTGATATGTCTTGGTACCTAATCATTTTGTTTAAATCGTACTTATCATTATATTTTTATACTATTATGTTCATCTTCCATTGAAAATAAACATAAGTAGTGATGTGATTTTTTTCCTATGATGATATGATAATATTTTATAGTGACATATTAATATTTTTGTTAATTTTTTAACGGTAATAGATCAAAATTAAACGTTAGATATAATTTTTAAAAAATTGAACGACCCAAACAAACCGTAATAATATGTAAATGACTAAATATATAGTTCACCCTTTATTTAATCTTCAAATTAAGGTTTCCCCCTTTCCAAATGCATCAAATTAGATTACTAAGTACCTCCTCCGATTTTGAGATTAAGACTACCACCAAAGTACAATTATGTCTGAAAGTTAACCGAGTCATAACATGCATTAAAGATGCAAATCCAACAATTAACATTTTTGCTTATAAGAGTTTAGACTAATTTAATAGTATTGAAAGATTTTTAGACGCCATCAAAAGAATAACCAACTAAATTCTCTTTCATTAATATTGTTTCAACCCAAGCTTTACCTAAAACACTAAAAAGTTCGTAAAAATTAGTCCAAAGCAAGTCGAAAGCCCAAAGATAACTCTCAATCGTTTGAGAGGAATTTTCTGAATTTAGTTCGATCGTGGGATTGAGCATGGAGAATTATTTTTGGGGGGGGGGGGCAATTAAGTTCCAGATTATCTCATTTCTAAATGATTTAAAGGTACAAGTACAGCATCCTAAATCCATGTCAAGGAGCTAAAGTTGTCTACCCATTGGACAGAAACACACATCTTCCCGGATTAACCAAACTTTCAATCTCGCGCACTTAAAAACACATCAGGCTTTCATTCCTGTCCAAGATACGAAAAACAATAATATAACGCACACCCATAGCTAAACAGCATTTCAATTTTCAGCGAAACTGATTTCATGTGCTTGCTTCAGCCTCCTTTTTCTCTGAAGTTCCTGCGCCATGCTCATCCGGCTTTGCATCTCCTTCGACCTTGTCAGCTGGCTTTGTTTCTTCTTGTCCTACATTTGGCCCGAAAACAGCAGCATATTAAACATGACACATAAAGAGAGATGTTAATCACAGGCAAAATATCATCGTTGAATCAGCTTTAGAATTCTTACCTTCATCATCACTGTCTTCAAACTCACCCATGCCGCCCATGCCGCCCATCATGTCACCCATGCCGCCCATCATGTCACCCATACCACCCATTCCGCCCATGCCACCCATTCCGCCCATGCCACCCATTCCGCCCATTCCGCCCATGCCACCCATCATGTCGCCCATACCGCCCATGCCGCCGAAGTTCTGAACAACACAATTATTAGGTAAGAAAGGAAGTCTTCATAAGTTAATGCTGGAACTGGAGATAGACATAAAATATCATATATCCGTTTCATACCGAGAAGTCCATTCCTCCCAAGTCAAGATCGCCGGCACCTGATCAGAAGTAGAAGGAAATAATAAATTGTCAGTTTGAACTGTATTGGCCTCCACATCAATTCAATCCGAATAAAGAAACATACCCTTGTCTTCATCTTCATCCACCCATTTGTCCCAGTCCACCTTGACATAATGGGGGGCCTTGCCATCCCTGCGGAGTAATTTTTTCCACCACACTTTCTCAGCTTTCTCTAAGATGCAGAATATGCTCCGTACACCTACATTTATCTTGCTTTCCTTTTATCAAGAACAAATGCAAAAATTTACAAGATGTTAAATAATGAAGAATGTTTATCCCAAGCACTGAGAGCATATTAATAGGCAACAGTTTCAAAAATAACTTAGACCTAGCTTGATAGAGTTGATAGAATTTTGGAAAGATAAAACACTTTTTTTTTTTGCATTAGTATGCTTGGTAGAAAAAGGAAAAAAATTATTTTGTTCAACGATTGTATGACATGGAATGTAAAATAATTTACTTTGTTATTTCACTCCTCTTATTTTCCCTTTCAAAACACACCAAAATTCATTTTCTTTTACCTTTGTCACCCTTCTAACAAGCAAATCCATAAAGTTAGTATAACTCAAAAGAAAAAATGCTAATGCACTTAAATGTAGTACTAAAAATAGGACACTAAAGGCTAACCATGAAATATTCGGAATTCAATTAAAAAGCAACTGATCATCAACATAGTACTATCATAAACTGATCAACATAATCGACGGCATCCAAGATATGGGTAAAACGCTAAACAAATGGATTAAACGCTGTCAATTCTCGATAATGGCTAGACCGATATCTTACCTCCACAACGACCTTATCGTAAAGATCCAACTTCAACTCATAATGGGTATTGCCAGTTCCAGCAGTACCAGAGAAACTAAACACTCCCTCCGGCTCAAGATTGACCTTTGCATCCTTCGAATCGGATAATTGCACCGTAATGAAAACCTTATCAGCTCTTTGAGCCCATTTCACCTCGGGATGACGACTATAAAGAAAGAAAATATACAAAGTAACTCAACCATATTTAATAAAAGAAAAATCCAAACTAAAATACACCCGAAACGAAACAATCGCTAGTGAAACAATCGCAGATACCAACCCTAATCAAAATCCACTACAACAATTCTTCCCAATAGTTAACTAACAACACAATAATGAAAACATTTATAAAAAAAGAACACTCGTGTCGAAACGGACAAAGAACAAAATGGTAAAGGAAGGTTAATATCAATCAAATCAGTCGGGGGCGGCGGGGGACAAAGATTAGAAATATGAAAATAAAAATAAAAATAAAAATACCGAAAAGAAGATAGTTAAGCTTACCTCATGATTTAGTACTGGGTAGAAAGAGTTGAAATGAAGAAAAGTAAAACCCTAACGAAAACGCCGAAGTATACAGCAGACGACTAATTAAGTTTTTAAACATACAGAACGGACACATTTGCCCTTTGCTTTTCTTTTTATGTCGTGGGTAAATCATGGTCCTTTTAGTATTTTCCGTCCTACATATTTTTCTGATGCTATTGTGTGGGAAGTTGTATTTATGTTTAGGGTAAATTACACAATTTATAACTAAACTTTATTTTCTCTCCTATTTTCCTCACCATACTTTCAATTTTTCTATTTTACTCACTAACGTTACATATTGAATCATTTTGCTTACTCTATCGTTAACTTTTTAATGATATTATGATATGGCACAAGCATCAAAACGACGTTATTTTTTAAAACCTCAAATATACACCAAAACGACATCGTTTTGAATCATCTTCTTTTTTCCCCGTTGTCTTTGCCGACCACTACGTCACTTTGCATTCTGACCACCGTTGACAGTCGTTGATGGTGGTTGTTAGGACCTAAAATTCATGGGTCGATTCGACTCGACCCCCTGAGGCCGAATCTTGTGGTTGTTTCGCTGAAAAATGTCTCAAAATCCATAAATATCAACTAAAACATTTCAGCTTCATCACTTTCAATATTTGATTCGTGGACTTCGAAGCAAGTCTAAATTATCCAAAATTCACTGCTCATCGCCAAATTTATCCAAATTTGCACTTTGATCCCAAATTACTTATTTAACTTAAAATTCCAGCATTTCAAATATTAAAATTCAACGTTGAACATTCCAATTATCACATTTATGCAATAATATCCTACAATTCTCAAAACTTATAAATTAACCCTTTTACTATCTCAAGGTTCCAAATTGATCTCCAAATCATATAGAACACTTCTAATATCAATTCTAGACCATAGGAAATTTTTTCAACATTTTACCCCAATTTATTCCGGTCGAATATAATTAGTATACTAGGACTTGATTTTCATTTAATTTCAAGCATGAATTCAATCTCCCATGATCAAATTCATGTCATTTCAATCATCATAACACCAATTTCAACCAAATGCCATAAACCCTAACTTGACCAAATTGATTATAAGTATTTTTACTTGATTTTAATCATCACAAATGCTTTGAAATTATTCTACAACACTAATAACATAAAAACCATCCTTTAAATCTTCAAAATCAAACATGTTCTTCATGAACCCTAATCATGAACATCATCATCCAAACATGTTTTCCATGAATTATTTATACCAAATGATAGAGAATTTCAAGTATATTAATTCTCTATGTAATAGCTTAATCCAAAAATCAATCGAATAAGCTTAAAAATGAAATCAAAAAATTTTCTTACCTAGCTATGGAGGTTCATGTTTTGGGGCTGGAAAATGCTGCAATTTTTTTATTTTTCTTCAATTAATATCATATTACACTTGGCTTTATCCAATATAAATGAATTTAAAATTCAATTAATGTGAAATTATTATTTTACCCTAAATAAAACATGATAATTTCAACTTGCCATTATAATATCTTTCATGTTAATAATCCAAGGTAAAAGATGAACAAATACAAATCCACTTTTCACCTTTGCCCTTGCAAGTTTTTTGAAAATTATAATTTAATCACTAAAATTCATAATTTTGGATTGACATGAAAAATCGACCTTAATTCCACTAATCCATGTTAAATTTCACTATTCTAAATTATTAAAATAATAATTCCAACCTTTATCTAGCATCCTTCAAATTTTTGTAAAATTTTGGTTCGATCCGATTATCCGATTTTTATATCGAATTTTATCGCTTTATAGCATTTAACACAAATCCCGTACCGAAAATATGATTACCACGAAAATTCTTGTTTTAAGCCAAACTTTTCATTTACGAGTTAAAATATATAACTTCTTAAAATTATATTTTTAGTCCCTAAACTTATACAAAGTTTATACTTTATCCACTAAATTTTTAAAACTTACATTTTAGTCACTAACCATAATTTGGGATATTACAAGTTCCGACAAAATGGAGATCGAATTAAGAGTCAAGGTGTTGAGGTAAAGCGATCCATGAAATTTGAGACTGAACTACCACCATATTCGATGGTGGCCGGATATGGTATTGGATCACCTTCTGTTTTTATTTTATAATTTGTTGGGCAAAATAGGAGATATAGTAAAGTTCAGTGAGGAACGATGTAATTTATCCTTTATATTTTCAAATATTTTATATTAAATAATAAAAAATGGCACGTCATCACACAATTAGAGAGTTAATGGTAGAGTGATCAAAATGATTCAATCTGTAAAGTTTGGTGAGAAAATAGAAAATTTGAAAGTATGGTGAACAAAATAGGAGAGAGAATAAAGTTCAGTGAAAACAGTGTAATTTACCCTTATCTTTATTGCAACGTCGTCGTTATATTTTGAGGGAATTGTTCAGTTAGCCTAGCCCAATATAACTGTCTCGTTAGTCCACTGGTTCAATTTAGCTCGCCCAATTTGGTTTTGGACCTTTGGGTTTGGGTTCAATAGTATATTATAAGATTAATCACATTCGTTTTAGGTTTGTATATTTTTCTCATTAAAGTAAAATAAATATTTTATCGTTTTTTTATTTAATTAATATGTTGTTAGTTTTACTAAATTTTCTCATTTTTCATTGTTAACGACGGTTGAAATTTTTAGTGATAATGTGATAGTAATAATTTCAATTTAATTAATATTTATTTGATAATTTTTTAATTTCTTTTGTAAAATTTAATTAATATTTTTTTATTTTTAAAAAAATATTTTTCTTTTATTCTATTTTAAATCTCGTTATGTATGACTAATATCAAGATTTATTGTAATTTATTATTTGATATATTTTAATTAAGGACGGACATATATTTTATATTGATAAATAAACTTTTTAAATGTTAAGAAGAGTAAATTTATAAAGTTTAAAACGAAAATAGATTATTAATAAAAATACATAAAAAAATAAAATATATAATAATTTAAGATGTTTAGATAAAAAATTGTCTAAATTTATTCTAACCCACCTCTAATTTCAATTATTAATTAAATTATTAATCAAATTATACATGATAATGAATTAATTATGAGTATACGCTTACAATATCATTTTGCTTCCCATTAATTTCTTGGATAACTACGTATTTAGTATCTAAATTATCAGTTTTGATTTATTTTAGTATTTAAACTTTTATTTATTTTTCAAAATCATATCTAACGTTTTGATTTTCATTTCGTTTTAGAACCCGTTTTTAAAAACTTAACACATGTAGCACCTAGAGTATAAATTTTGATCCGTTTTAGTATATAAACTTAAAACAAAAAATCAAAACTTAACGATAAATTTTGAACTGTATACTAAAATGAAACAAAAAATTAATGTTTTTAACTGTGGAACATTAAAATGAAACAACAACTAAATTTTATGTATGCTTTTAAAAAAAATTATAGTTTAAATACTAAAACAAATGAAGTTGATAATTTAGATACTAAATACGTAATTTAGTCTAATTTATTTCTTTGTTATGAATATATTTCATCACAGTTCACCCAACAAAACATAAAAGTACGTGTAACTATAAAATAAAAAAGGGGAAAAAACTTAAAACAAATATATAGTAATTTATTAAATTATTTAAAAATGATTCTTATACATTTTAAAATATGAGTATTAAAATGATAGGATAAATTTTAATAATTATTTTATAAATAACTTTTAAAAAAATATTAATCAAATATTTATTTTAGTATACCTATCTAACCTCTAATACTTTACAGTTTCTTTTCCCAAGGCCAGCCCTTTTCACAAATCAGCCTTTTTTTTGGGTACTGCATAAAGAAATCAGCCTTTTTTTCTGCGTAATGCAGAAATGAATATAAGGACTGTTTATTTATTTTAGAATGATTAAATGTTGAATAATTTAAATGTTGAATAATTCAGAGATTATAAATTGTTTGATTATGAATGTGACATGTTGTTTGATAATTGACTCTGAATAATTCATAATATATTTTTGTACTGAATTATTTAACACTGTTTTATAACCTACTTCGCTTTCACCATTATAAATAATAAATTCGTTGTCACATCTTAACAGAGACATGTTCTTATCACGTGACTTTTATATTTTTTTATAATATTTATTTATTATCAAATTTTATATCATATAATAAAGGCGCTATTGGCAGGGGACGTCTTTTTAAAAGTATGAATTAATTAATCTAGTCCAATAATTTTCCTAATTACTATTTCAGTCTAATCTCAAAACGAAAGGAAGCTTCCTTTTGAAAGCTGCCTTGAGGTCTTAATAAAATTCTTTGGATTTGTTGTGAGTTGCATAATTAGACAAGTCTTTAGTGAAGTTAGTAACGTTCATTACTTATTAGTTAGTCGAATGGAATAAGTCACGAGATTTCTTAAACAATATTATAGGTTCGAATTTTATGTTATAAATGTATTAATAAGTTAGGCTAAAAATCGTCTCTATAATGAATCTCTACAATATTATATTTGAATTAATCGATTAATAGGTTGAATTTGATTTACCATAAAATGTAACAATATTCTAATTTGACTTTGCTTCAATTAGGGTTTAAGTGTATGAAAAATGTTGTCACTTCGTTATTATTTTCCTTTGCCAAGTATGACCAGTTTCTTGGAAGATAAAAACTATGGCCTAACCTTAATTTATTATTAATTAATCTAAGTACATGTTTGTGCCCACCGATCAAACCCTTTTAAGTTTAAACCCAATTAACCCAGTAATCAAATTAACGAATGAAATTGATTAAAACTATGTCAGATCGATTAAATTAATATGAATAAAATAAATTAATTTAACACAAATCAATCTATCTTAGTGATTAAATGAATTGTTGTTATTTTTAGTGATCATGAATTCGAGCATTTATAGTTAAATTATTGAAAGTATATTTAGAATAGATATTATTTGTAATCAATTTAGTTTAATAAAAAATTAATTAATTAATTTTAAATTTTAAATTAGTTTTATCAAATAAATTAATAAAACCTGTAATATCTAT